GAAGGAACAGGATATTTCTAGAAAACGTGGCGTGACACTAGTCACGTGACCTCGCTGACGCAACACTACTTTCTTCCTCCTAATTTCATTTTTGTCTAGATTAATGAAGTTTAAAAAACGTCCCACGCACACAACACACGTCACTCCTTGAATTATATAGATTTTTAGATTTTGTGAAGGATTAATCCCTTAATTTCAGTACACCTTTAGAGCTATTCTCTTATCTTGAACATTATTTACGAAAATTACTGAAAACCGTCTATTACAGAATAAAACGATTTTTTTTTCTCAGTACCTAAAGAGGTTCTAATCTTAATCTTTTGGTCACTAAATAAAATCAAAAGTTGAAATGCGAATTTGATTCCATATTATCATCAATTAGTAAATAGCCTTAGACATCATAACATGCAAGACCCTACCTAAGCTTCCACCACCGTGTATTCATCTCTCCTGGAGAGATGGCGCCACTGAAAACGTCATATCTCCATTTATCCACAACCAAAGCCCAAGGTAGAAATGCAATCTTCTTCAGGGCGTGGCGTAATAACAAACTTATGTCATCCTCTGCAAGAGAAGGAGGGATTAGAAACAGTTTTTTGTTTTTTATTGAATGCACGTGTATGGATCACATCGAGGAGAAAAGTAGCGCGTTATTAAATATGGAGGAAACCATAAATTATCTTCCTAACTTGTGTGGTTTTAAATAAGATGAATAATTTCAAATCGTGTTTGTTATTAAGCCGTACATTAATCAAACGTTCTAGAAATATACGTACTAGGTTTCGTCTCTTTTTTTTATAGTTAATATTTTAATTCGATAAACTGAAATATGTAGTTTACAATGAATACTTCTCACATAATAGAAACCAGAACCTAATAGTGAATATATATATTTTGGTTTCGAATAATTCCTACCTATATATATATAATGATAATGAGATTTTTTTTCAACTTCTCAGACAAACAGAACTATAGCATTAGTATTTCACAAACATTACTTTCCCATATGTAAAAGATTTATTAACTTTCTAAGTTCGAAATGGATACGGATCAAAATCATTATCACAAATGTTTTTGCATGATTCTATACAGGTACATAGCAAATAACTTAAGCATACAAGCTATGGACATAGAATACATCGTTTCTAGTGTCTCAAAGGGTTTGTTTGAAGTTAAGCAGAAAGCTACACAATGAGCTATCTGTGCTCTGCCCACCACGATATCGAAACCCGGTTTATAGTGCTGTAAGTCCGCAGACATACCGCTGTGCCACTGGGGGGCGTCTTAAAGGGCAATTAAAAAATATCAAGATAATTATAGCTTCTATACTCCTATACTTAAAGTAAATATTGAGAAACTGGTTTAACATAATATAAAAGACAGAAGTCATTTTGTAATCATGATTTTTATCCCCTTGTGGTACTGGCTATGAATCTATTTGAAGTTATGCGTCTTATGCGTAGAAATACGGTTTTCCTAACTTCACTCCTTATTCATTTTGCTTAGCCTCTTTATCAAACCAATTTTTATCTTTAAAGTCTAACTAGTAACGAAGGAATTTGAGGTTTTCTTTAAGGTTGGAAAGTTCAAACTAAAATCTAATGTTAGAAGTTAGGCCTTTCAGTTTTCATTTCAGGAACTTTCAGTAAACAACTCATCGTTTTTATAAAAACACTATTACAAACACACTACGTGAATTTGCAGTTATACTCCTGCAAAACTGTATAAAATATATTGTGAGGACTCCAGTAAATTATTAAATCCATATAAAAAACCTCTTTGACTAAATTCATCACAAGTTCGTCCTAAAAGTTAAAAAAAAAAAACTTTTGAAGTCGAACTACTAGTGCTGGAAACCGTATTTTCTCGAACATCATCCTCTGTCTGTTTCCCCCTGATTTGAACATTAACAATGTAGTGGTGTTTGTTTGAGATCGGATTTTATCGACGAATATCTATGCCAACGTAATCCCACTATTATTGTGCAGTTTGCCATAAGACGTCTACTGTCCTTAGGATGGACAAAATCTCATTGTACCTGCATCAACAATTGGTCGAACAGGATTGTTGTGATTTCGGTTGTTTTGGCCATCTTTTTTTAGAGAAACAGCTGTTGATTTCGAGGTATAGATAAATAATTGAGAACTTTGTGAGCTTTCGTCAACTTCAAATCAACGTTTATTGTATCGTTAATAATGCCAGAAGATATTTCTTTATGGACCAGAAGGTTCTCTTTCGTACTCATAGTCTTCATTTTGCGGATGTGGGCTTGTTCCTGACTGGTTTGGAGGTGCCGTTTCGGAGCTTGATATTTTCCTGATCTCCTGGAATATCTGTATCCGAGCTTTTTTCGCTTCCATGTAGAACTTTTAATACCTTTTTTTCCTGAAATGTTTTGTTCTTTAACCCTACATATTTTAAAAATCATGCTCCTCAAATAGAACATTTACACACCCCTCTAGTCACAGATAAAAGTTTTGGAGGCATTTTACAAACTTCCTCAGCAAGGTTGGTTTTCATATAACGTAAAGATGTTTATCTATCAAGTGACCGTAGTTCTAGAACCATCCGGGTTTTTGCAAGGAAACAGTAACTAATTTGTATGCGTTCTCCGAATGTGAAAAATCATTTTGTGTATAATATTAAAATGTTAAATATGCCGCCCAAATCCATTCAGAAAAAAAATGAATAATTTCAGTTATTGACGCCATTTTATGATCAGCTGACTCTTACTCTTTATTGTCATGTATAGACGTTCTAAAAGTTTCAAGTTTATATTTCATAAAATGGGAAAATTTTGTGTTAGTATACACCTTCCACTTGAGCAGGAGAATATTGTTACGTCTCCGTTTGTTAATTGATTTTCCGTAACTTCGTTCCGACGAAACTTTAGCG